AAAAATCTTACAGGCGAAAATGACGGGCATGTCCCTAACGTAAGCTTGCCAAGCGTAGGCAAGGCTAAGCCTGTGCTGAACCGTAACAGCCTGCCACTACCCACCACTGCCGTTCGCTGCCGCCCGCCGCCACCTTTGCCTCTGCCTCCAGAAACATTGTCGGATGTTGTTGGAAGTAGAGGTGGCGGCGGCAGCACTGATGGTTTCTCTGTCCAATGCCATAACCTCTGTCGTCGCCTCCACCAACATTGTTGTCGGCGGCTGGCAGAGGAATGACCACCAATGTCTCTGCCGCCACCTCTGACAACATTGCCGGAGGCTTCAGCTTTGGTGAACAAATGGCAAGAAGAATAAAATGAGCCCTTTATTGATATTATTTTTAAAAAGTTAGCCTATTTTTTAATTTTTTTTAAATATATTATTTTTATTGATATCAAACCCCAAAAGTTGCCTTTATATGCTAGAAACCGTTTTAATTTCGTTGTACATGCATTCGTTCTTTGCAGTTTGAAGATGTGAGTTACAGTATAAAGCTGAAGAAGTCCCGCGAATGTTGGTTTTCTGCACCGGAACCCAAGCTTGCTAAACGCACTATACCCAACGACGTTATTGGGGTTGTCCAATTGGGCAACCTCCTAGCAATGCTCAACCCATCCGGCAGCGGGAAAAACACCGCTCTTGACGGCCCTAGCAGGCAAGCTTCCGGGGAAGTTCTTCGACAGCATCACCTACAATGGGCAGACCTTCTCCGGCTCCATAAAGCGTAAGATCGAGTTTGTGTCACAAGATGGCGTACTGTATCCCACCTTATCGTGCTGGAGACGCTAACCTACGCCGGGGAAGTTCTCCGGCAGTATCAGTTACATGCCAGGGGTTAATCTCGTGTTTCCAACTGATTTTCTGCTAGATCTAGCCAGGGTTAATCTTGGTTCTATCAGTTACATGGGTTGCTTAAAAGAGTAGAATGGGTATTTGGAAGAAACTGCTATATCTGTCTAACGTTTTCCGTTTGAGAAATTAATGGAAGAGAGATTTTTGTCGAATTTCTCAAAAATTGAGGAGAGGTATTTTTTAAAATAAAATTAAAAAGAAGTTTTTATGATCGTCAAAAACTTCATGGGAGGTTTTTTTATTTTACCCATCAATTTTTTAAGCTTCACAATAGGACCCCACAAAATTCACAAGACACTATCCCAATTCGCCGATGTCACGTTTAATCCAACGGTTACGATAAAGGATTGCCTGTCAAATCAGACGTGAACCATGATTCCATGTGTCTCTCTGACATGTCATGGTCTTCTAGATTTTCACTCGGTCACGCATGTACCGATGCCACGTCACTGGTTGCCAGTTGCAATTAAAATGACATCAGTGTCGCCCACCGGAAAGAACAATATCAGCAACTGATTTCTGGTTTTCCTGCACACGATCCTGTAGACTTGCATTATCTTTTTGGAAGTTTGAATATGGATTTTCTACGATAGAGTATCAAAATTTCAAATATAATAATATGTAGTTAAGCTTAAGCATCATTTTTGACATGTAAAGAATCATGTGACAGAGAAGAATCACTCCTTTGCCAAGGCCAACCATTGGCCATTGTGTTTGGTATGCAAACCCAAATCGGTCATCTCTCATCAACCCCAATTTTAAAAACTTCTGGTTCTATCCATTACCATTTAGACCCCACAAACCAACACTTTTTCTCATCCCTTTTTGTAGATGAGGATCATCTACAGAGTTCCAGCTCAACCCTCTTCTGTCCTCACTGCTCGAACCTTTCTTTCTGAACCATCTTTTAGCTTGTTTCCTCTGTGTCTGGATATTTACCATTTCTGCCAAACTTTCAATGTGTCCTGGTTGTTTATCTTCGTTTTTCAGAGAAAAGTTAAGTTTCCTTCAGGCCGGTTGATATTGGGTTCTTGTCAAAATCCCATCTTTTCAACAAAAGACTCGATTTTTCCATCTGGGTCTGTGAGATTTTTGGCTGTGGTTTTTAGCTTTGTAGATGGGATATCGTCGTCTTTTTGATCCCGAAATTTGGACTCTCAAGTGGGTTTTGAGTTGAAGGGTTGGAGGTTCAAGGAGGATGAAAAGGGGGAGAGATGAGGAGAAGATCACGGGCCCCTTGTTTCCTAGGCTCCATGTCAATGATACAGAGAAAGGGGGGCCAAGGGCGCCTCCAAGGAACAAGATGGCCCTCTACGAACTGCTCAGTATCCCTTCTCAGAGGTTCAATCCTAGATTGGCGCCGACGTTGCCTCTTCCTCCCAACAACTCCTGCACTTCGGTATCTTCGATCTCTTCGAGCCAGGTGAGTTGGGTAGTTATGTAGTGTCATGGTGTTCAGTTGCCTCATTGGCTTCGCAGGTATAATTGTCAATTTTTATTATTTTATTGCGTTTGGATGTCTACATTTGATTTTGAGAACAAACAACGACTTAGATTCATTGATCTAATCATTTCTTCTGATATCTGACAATATATATGAATTATTTCTTAAGGAAAAAGGATCCATCTGATTGGTTTCAATTGGGACTACTTAGCAATCTATGGCTATACCGTGCACATTATGAAATGCATTATTGTGGATAAAATTAGGAACATTGAGTTTAAGTTCAGCGTGCGTTTCCTTGATTTGATTCTCCTCTTTATGGTCGTTCTTTATTTGTTTTTTTAATAAAAGCAGGAGTTTTAGTTGGAGTACAGCAGTAATCTTTGTTTCTTTAGCTCTTGGGAGCATCCGCTATTCTATTTAGTCAAGTTTTATAATACTTAATTACTGTTAAATTGTAGTTTGTCTTTGCTTTGTTTCTATATGATATTTTCCTAAACAGTCTTGTGGACAAAAAGAAATGCTCTATGGGTTGGTTGTTAGCTACTTAGCTTACAACTTCTTGGACCCTATTATGTGTCTGGTGCTTAATAACTGATTTTTCTGAGGAAAAGAATTTTTTTGCTTCTTATTGTGAACATAACTGTTACAGGAATCAGGATGTAAATTCCATTCTTTGTGGTTGATCATGGATGATCATGGATGGTTTTGAAGGAAACCGTCTTAGGAGGTTGTTGCACCTATTTAATGTGAATCATGTCTTTTTTTTTTCTTAAATGAAATTCAATAAGCTTATTCACTTTCACACATCAATTTCTTTTTTGATCCCTGATTTTATTGTGCGGTTTGTGGATATAGAGTGGAGGTCATGAAAGAAGCGTGCTTTCTCCATTTTACCTTCAACCTCCCACATCTACTCATTCAGCTGGGAAGCTTCATTCATCTTCTTCTGATGGAGCAAACTTGAATGGTACCATGGCAGAGTTTGATAGGAAATCTACAAAAAATGTAAATCATCGACCTTCAAATGCTACTACAGGTTTGTTATCAACTAGTGATCGCAGTTCATGCCACTCACATGCCTTCTCCAACTTGAGGAAACGGATACCTGGGGATGAGGATGATCTTAGGGTTCCTGTCTTTGTTCACTCACAAGTTTCTCCTTGTTCTGATAAGGATATTCCCAACACCAGCAGGGAAAGATTTTCTCCCTTCATCTCAACCAATTCAGACCGTTCTACAGTTGCAGAAGATAACAGTCCACTTAAAACTGCAGCAGCTACTTGCAATTCATCAATGCAACCTCAGAATGCTTGCGATAAAAGCCAGAAACCAACCAGAACAACAGATATGAAGTCAAAACAACATGTAAGAAACCAATTTAAAGAGAACCTGAAAGAAACTGTGACTGGTAAAAACCATGCAGAAAATTCTACATCTATCTCATCAATGGGAGAAAGGATTGCCGAACCCTTAAAGCATGACAAAACAAGTGGAAATCAAGAACTTCAAAATGGTCAGGTTGGTTCCAGGAGATTATGTGATGCTGATGCAGAGAGGCATCAAGAAAATGGATCTGCTATGTTTCCTAAAATTTGTGGAGATGCTGATGTTCATTTGGTTGAGCCCAATGAAGTGGAGAAGGAAAACATTTCAAGGGAGAGAAATGAATCATGTTCTGAGGCATCGCCTGTTAATAGTCACAGAAATCCTGAGAGGGCTGAAAATGGTGGGCATTACCATGAAGAGATGGTGCATGAATCATTACAGGTGGGAGATGTGGACGGAAATGATGATGCATCTGAGAGCTCCATGGTGGATTCTGTATTGGGTGCGGATATATCTCCTGATGATGCTGTAGGAGTAATAGGGAAAAAGCGTTTCTGGAAAGCAAGGAGGGCAATTGTCAAGTAAGAACTCGTTGCCCATCAGTTAGGCATTTTTTTTATAAAGATTAGAAGTATCAAAATTGTGGTTGCTGGTGTCTCTGTATGTTTAAAAATTCATGCATTTATTTCCTCTCAAACTGTCCACAGTATGGCTACTCTAGTGCTCCTCGAAAGTATCTTACCTCTTTTACTTGGTGGTGAGAAGAAGGAAGCCTTAAATAGGCTACCCACCTCAGCCAGGGGATTCCACCTGCCTCCAAATAAATCAAAGAAGAATGCCCAAGTATCAGCTATAAACAAATAGGAAATTAGTAAATTCAAGGTAGATTCACAATTTGCTCTGCATAAAACACACATATTAGGAGATAAGCACCAAGAAGGCCTTTTCTTTTGAAGAAGTTCACATGTACTGATTTTCTTATATGCAACCTCAGAAATCCCAGAATATAGGAGCGGGAGAACCACACCAAACAGCCTTGGAAGGAAAGTCAAAGTTAGAGGAGGAAGCAGATGACATTTTTCTTGATAATTAACAGTAAATTTTATTAGTCACCATACCGTTAAAGGACAGCAGTTGGCCACCAATTATACATACATTCAGCTCTCCAATTCAGGAGATAAAAATCATACAATATAAAAGAGAAAAAATGCAGAACATACAACTACTACAAATTATAGCCCAGCCCTGGGCACCCCTATTCTAAAACTTCTCTCCTCATCCCTTCTCTGGCCAAAGAATCTGCCAGCATATTAGAACTCCTAGGGGTCCAGTTGAATGTAGGGATTGAGCCAGCCTCACCAAAGCCTGAATTCTCAAGGAACCTGATCTTGTGCCTTCATCCATCACATAATAGATTGAAAATCTCTTTCCACCTCTACATACCTCATTCCCTGCAATACCAGCAGCTTTAATCCTTGAACTAAAGCTAGTAACTCAGCACTCAATAAGGTACCCTGACCAACTAGGCCTGAATGGCTGGGAATCAGATTACCACATTGATCCCTTACTCTCCCCCAACCTGAAGCCCTTGGATTTCCCAGCCAGTATCCATCAAAGTTGAGTTTAACCATCTTATCTGCAGGAGGAGTCCATTCTAGCTCTCTTTGGAGTTTGCCAGATTGGAACCCAACCACTATACTCCACCCCTAAGTAGACCATCGAGGGAAACACCTCTAAATTCTTCACAAATTACATCTGGACGGGCTTCCCTTAACTTTATGAGTTTGGACAAATCCTCCACTTTTTTATATTTCTTTTCAAGAAAGAAGGCATAGCATTCAAGAAAGAAGCACATGAAAAGATATTGGAATCCCGTGTCCCCTTACTTTTGTAATGGGAAAGTGGCACAACGCCAGAAACTATTTTTGGCCATGGTCTAATGATGCTTCAGCCAATTTTTTATTCTATTAGTTTTCATAAGAAAATTCAATTATATTGATTCCATTTATATAGTCAATATAAGGGCTTAGATATCCTTTTAAGGACTCCAAACTCATCTAGAAAGCTAAACCAAAACAACCTCTAACTGCTTCAAGATTCAAAGGTGGTGGTGGGGTGGATAAGAAACAAGCAAGGAGGTTCTTGGAAGCACAGAAGCAACATGAGGAAGGTTTGATGCTGATAGAGGAAATGACACAAGTGTTCAATGGGTAGAGAGATTGACAAATGGACTAGCAGATGAGCTAGCTAGACAGGGTGCTCATAGAGACCAGTTGTACAAGGGAATTGTAAAATAAGAGGGAAGTAAGGGTAAAAGGGTAGGTAGGCAAGGACCTAGCCTACAGAAAAGGGGTGTTTTCTGGAGAAACACATCAGTTTCATTGTACCTCTGTAACATACATTCATATTCTTTCCACTTAAATAAAGTAACTTTTATGGTTGCCAAAAAAAAAACAAAAGACTTTGACAAACCCATTTGTAACCATTTGGATACTCAAATATGGATTTCCAACTCACAAAATAATTTTAATAACAGTTTGCTAATCCTACTACAACTAAACAAACGAAACTCTAAGAGAGACCAAGAAGGTAGAAAGGCTCAAATCACATCACAGATTGACACCTTATTAGTGAAATGATCATAACTCACTCGAAACATTTAATTACAAGATCCTAGGGAAATATTTCTCCATAACACTATTTGAATGTAAAGTAAAACGGCTAGGTGGATGATGCCAGCCTTGGATCATATTATGGGTGCTAGGAACATTCTCTATGCTTGCATGCTTGTATAATTTTTTTTTCCACATAATCAGTAAGATTTGATTGTTACTGATAAAACTAGGTGTATCATTGCTTCAACATTGTTCATCATCGAAGGTTCCAGCTAACTTGTTGGTAAAAAAGTATCTCTGGCTGGTTGTAGGGGAGACATGGGATCAAATCTCGCCTTCAATAGGTTGAGGTTTGGAAGGAGCGCTATTCCCCGTTGTGTAGCCCTGTAAAAAAGAAAGAGCGTCATTCATTATCATTTATATCTTTCAGTTATGGTGCTTGTATGTGTTTTCTTGTTCCATTTTCTTTAAATCTCAGTGATGCCTGAATTGTAAAACCATGTTCCTTAAAAATCTGTTTCTAGCTTGGAATTTTCTATAGCTTATTGCATGCATCCTCTTAGCAAGTAGGGGAATCACATTCCTGTCTATGTTTTTGTTTTTTTTAACATGTGTACAGCCCACTTGTTTATTGGATTGCATCTTCCTTTGTATTATTGATTTCCTTGTGTTATTAGCAAAATCCTTGATGCAAAATCTTGAAAATTATATAGGGATGGTGATGTGGAATGGATAAGAGTAATTCCAACACTTCAGATCTGTGATGTGCTGAATGGAAAAGTGAAAATTTTGAAGTGTTTATATTATAGGAAAATTAGTTGTTGGTATAATCTATAAGTTATTTTGTTATTGATCAGGGGAAAAATGAAGTACCATTTACATTTGTTCATCAAAGTAGAATGTGTAAATTGTTGGGATGCATGTGTGAATTTATGAGAAGGAGATCCCACATCAGATAAAAACAAGAGAAGTAAAGGACTTGTATACAAAGATTGGCCCACAACCCAATGGCTTAAGCTATTGGGTTAAAGGTGGTGTCCAACTCTTGTGTGTAAGTCCTACGCACAAAGCAAGTTCCCCAATGTTTGCAACTCCATTAGGTGCACGACAATGGCATAAGAACCAAAGGTTCGACTAAGTGCAAGTATTAGCAGATGCATGTGATGACTCCCATGGCTTTGCAAGCTTCTCCATGGTCTGAATGGTTGGCAAGAACTGTTGATCTCCCATGATGACTCCACCCATGGGAATGTGCTCCCATGGTTGAGTGGTTGGTGACTCCCATGGCTTGAGCCACCCATGGATAACTTTCCATTTAGATGCTGGAAATTGAGTGAGGGCTCCCTATGGTTGTGAGAAATGGGTTCTTTGGTTGATGTATTTGAGGGGGAGTTCTTAATGTGGATGGGAAGTAACTTAGAGGGGGGGGGATTGTTGGCATGCATATGTAGTGTATTAGAAGGGATCCCGCATTAGATAAAAACAAGAGAAGCAAAGGACTTGTATACAAGGATTAGCCCACAACTTAATGGCTTAAGCTTTTGGGTTAAAGGTGGTATCGAACTCTTGTTTGCAAGTCCTATGCATGAAGCAATTTCCTTGGTGTTTGCAACTCTCCTTGTTGCACAAGGGTGTGCCTTAGGGTGGACATGAAGCTTTGATACTAACATGGAATACATGAAAGAAACCATGGAAGAAGTCAAGTTTCTCTAGATTCCTCTACCAATAGCAACTTCATAATGTAATTGATTTTTTTTTACCAGTAACAGTAGCATGGTTTTATTAATTCATGTAAGGAATAAATTACAGAAATTGTTCCAGGCACCACTTTTGTAGGCTAGCATCTGCTTCCTAAACCACATTAAGTATTCTTTACTATTACAATGTTACATTGAGTTCCTTCTCCTAAGTCACACCCTAGTACAATTGCTCCCTGTTTGCTCCTTGTCTTGCCAAAGCATCTGCCATACTGTTCCTGTAAGCCCAATAAAAATGGTGTTTAACTCAATGGCTTTCAACAAAAAGTGGAATTTAATTAAAAAGCACATATACTATTTGGAATTTATGGAAGCAACTGAATAATATTATCTTCAATCAACGAAACCTGAACCCGGATTGGGTGGTGATGACAGCAACAACGGAGCTGATCATGTATCAGGAAAGCAGGAAAGCAGGGAAGCATTACAACATTTCATTCTCAATGCCGCCAATATATATGCTGCATCAAGTGGAAGCCACTGCATGGAAAGCAATTGAAAACCAACTTTGATGTCGAGAGGGGGAAGCAGCAATTGGTTGGGTCTTGTGGGATCAACTTGGAATGTTCAGAGTATGTGCAGCAAGGAGGATCAGCAAACAAAGTAGCAATGAAGAAGGCTATAGACATCGAGCAACAGTCTGTCATTATAGAAGGTGACACAAAGATAGTCATTGATTGCGTCAATAACAGGGTGGAGACACCTTCGGATCTCATTAAGGCATAATTTAGGAAGGATATCAGATTTGCCCATGCTTTTAGGGAGGCAAACAAACTAGCCGATTGCATATTCAACTTGGGCCAAACGGGCCAAGTCTCTCTTTCTCTATCCCCCCCTGCCAGTGTTAGAGCTTCTTTTCTTCCTCCCCAAAAATATACCGCTTATATTTTAAAAAGTGTTAATGCTATAGAGTACAACTAAGCATCCATGCAGTACCTGATTCTGTTTGTATTTTGTTTCTTTTTGGCTTGTTGAGCTATGAGTTGTATTTCTGGTTATCTTGTATAGTGCATTGTACTTGTCCAATTCTTTGTGTCTTCTCCTGGAAGGGGTCCTTTTACCAATATTACTCAATAAAATCTCTTTGATTGGTGATACAAATAATATATTGTTAGATTGGGAATCATCAATCATCTTGTTGACATGGGGTCTATAGGTTATCTTGGGTTGATTTAGAGGTGCTGGAATTTGGTCCACATTTCCTACATATTTTGAGTCACTGTAAGTACAACAAATTATTTAATGCCAATCAAAACTTCATTTTGCTGCCTTGCTGGTGAATGGTCACAATATCTCTGTACAAATAATAGAAGTGCAGTGGAGGGTGGAAATATGAAAGACAGAAGGCACACTGGAGGAATGAATTTATTCACATGGATGTTTGGGGCATGAAACACTTACAAGTGAATGAATTTATTCACTTGTAAGTGTTTCAATAGCATTTCCTAAGGTGGGGCCTATTTCTTTAAATTATTTTTATCCTATCAGATAGTAATTATTAGGATTCTAATTTGGATTGTATTCCTTTGGAATGGTAGACATGTTTCTTTTGGAAAATTTTTCCAAAGAGGCGGTTTATTAAATGCTGAGTAGTTCACTAATGAAATGCTCTTATTTTCATAGAACTAGGTGGATAGTGCCATTGATGTAACTGTAACTTATGGTCAAAATCTTTCAATCAGTTTGTGTGCCAAGGAAGGGAAGGAGCTTTTCATTTCTCCACTCTTTTACTTCAGGGAAATTCTTCTTACAATATGGTCTTCTGAGTTTTATATGCATCTCATCAAGTGATGGTACATGGTTATATAGAAACACTTGTGTATATTGTCCTGGCATCCAATTTTCGATAGCATTCAGAATTATACTTTAAGATTATACTTTACCTATTACAATCACTAAAAAAATCCATTGCTACTCTTGTTCATGTGTTTTTTTTTTTTTGATAATTACTACACTTGTACATGTTCACACATTGGTAATGAATTCATCCATTTGAGATTTAAACTAACTGAAGGTTTATCCTACGATTCTATCTTTAAGCAGGGGATTTTGATTGCATACTGTTTCTGGTCATAATTAATCAACTTGGCTCTTTTTCTTTTCTTTTCTTTTTTTTTGCTCCATGGGGCTACACAATGGGCGGGTTGGTTGGGGGGGGGGGGGCAGAAGGAGAGCTTACCAACCATCCAGTTGGCACTTTGCGGTCAACTTAGCTATTTAACACAGCTTTCTCTCTCCTGTTCTTTGTTGTCTATAAGAATTTCATGTGATAAGGTTGTTGATCCTTGTGCTGTTGATCCTTGCAGTCAACAAAAGCTGTTTGCAGTGCAGGTATTTGAGTTGCATAGGTTGATAGAGGTAAGCTAGTCTAGACCCAATGCAGGTATTTTATTCACTCGGTTTGGAGTTAAGAAAAACTATTGAGTAAACTCTTGATATTCTAACAGGTTCAAAGATTGATTGCTGGATCACCTCATCTCTTGCTTGATGGTAATCCTTGTCTAGGCAAACCACCTTTAAAGGAATCTCCTGTGAAGAAGCTGACATCTAAGTATGTCATAAAATCACCACCATGTGTTAAGAAGAAAGTTGATTCTCAGAACCCAAACCAGAATGCTGAAGGTGCTGCTGAGAACACACTTCGGAAGCCCACTCCTCTCAGCAATGGTGTCAATAAGGGACTTGTTAGTCAACAATCATGTCATGGGCCTCATTCTGGAAATCCACCATTAGCACCTATGGCTACTGATAACAAGTCAGGTCCTTGGTATTTCTATCCACCACCAGGAAATCGGTGGTTGGTTCCCATAATGTCCCCTTCTGAAGGACTTGTCCACAAGCCGGTGGTAGGACCATGTCCACTAACTGCAGGTTTCATGGCACCAGTGTATGGAGACTGTGGGCCTCCAAGTTTATCCCCAATGGCTGGAGACTTTATGAGTACAGCCTATGGTATACCAGCCTCTCATCAGCAGGGGATTGGTATTTTTCCTGGTGCTCTTCCAGTTGGTCAGACATACTTTCCCTCATATGGTGTGCCAGTCTTGAACCCCGGTATCTTTGCCTCATCTGTGGATCAGACAAACCCATTGGTTGGTGTCTGGCCACATGGACATGCTGAAAGTTTTTCATCAGGGGATGCGTACTTCAACCTTCACCATCACAGCTCGTATAACAATTCAAACCACAATAGCGAGTCTATCTCCTGTTGTACTTGGAAGTTTCAGATGTCCAAAGATAGTGAACCCCAAGGGAGCACAGCAAGCAGTCCTTGTGAGAGGACACGGAGTACTGGGGCAAATAATATTGCCGAAGGAAGAGATCCACTTCCTCTTTTTCCCATGGCTCCAGCTGTGCAGGTTCAGAATCCAGTACTCCAGAGTCGGAGTAGTGATCAGCAGACAAGAGTGATCAGGGTGGTGCCTCACAATCGTAGATCTGCAACTGAGTCAGCAGCGCGGATTTTCCAGTCCATACAAAAAGAGAGGCAAAAATATGATTCAGTTTGATTCAAAATCTGATGGCAATGATCAACATTAATCCCACTACACTGACTAGTGGGAGGTAAATGATCTTGGGCTCACAAGAACTTGGAATTTGTGGTTTGACATACACTCACTACTTGATTCCTGAGTAGTTCTTTATACTATTTACATGTACATATGTTTATGCAAGATGGCAAGAAAAGAAGGCCCAGAGTATATTGCTTTTTTCTTTCCTTCCTTTTCAATGTCATAACAGGTTTTGGGTACAAAGTGATCCACGTTTTGCACGGAAATGGGAAGTCAACAATTCTTGGAGGGCATTGCTCTTCAATTGGAGGAGATTATCAAGCTTCTTTTGCACTGCATTTTCCCCTTATTTTCCATTTCCTTTTTTTTTGGAGGAGGGAGGGATGTAATTCGTTCCTATTTGATCTGTTCGTTTTTTTTTCTGTTACATACTTAACATTTGGCTGCTTGGATGCTTCACTTAAATAAAGTAGCAATAAAAGAATCGGGTTCATATAAAAATTTCTTTGCAGTTGTACCATTAGATTGAGAATCCATTTACTTGGGTGGAATTCTTATGTCCCAAAGTCTTACTTGCTTTGAGTAATTCCTGTTTTACTGACATTGTGCATTTAATGCATGGTTCCTGCACGGTTAGTTTCCTTTGAATTCTGAGACTGTTACAGGGGAGGAACTGTATATTATATTTGATGTTTCAACTTTCAAGCCATGAACTGATATCTTCACTTGATCTCAGCACCAAAGAAAGGTATTTCATTTCCATTTTCTCTATTAAACTGAGCAGCAGCGAAGCATATGTTTGGTTCTGGGCGTTTATTGATGGGTTGTTTATTGCTTTAAACGTTTATTTGAAATAATGCTAGTGTGTTATTTTAAATGTTTTTTTTACTTTTGTTGTTTGGTTGGGCATTTCATGTGTGTTTATGTTAGTGTTTATTTGATAAATATTGAAATCAAACAGTGGTTTCATGTACAATAAACATTAATGCCTATGTGGTGTTGATGTGGTGGCGTTTCTTCAATAAATACCCACGGAACCAAACATAGCCTAAATGCCTACAAACGTGGTGCCACGTCTAGGGGGTGTTTGCCCATGGGTTTGGGTTTATTCTTGAAACTGATGTTGCAGGGTTTTTTTTTTTGTTCTATGTGGCAATTGTTTTTGAAACTGTAAATTCGGGGTTTATAGGTTTTCTTTCTTTATGTTTTAAAGTAACTTCTTTTAAATGCTCAAAACACTTTTTTGATTCATTTTTGTTTTTCATAGCTCAAAAGCAAAAGTTTATCCAGAAATAACCTAGAGAATTTGCATTCTCCAGAAATAAAATTAATGTTATTTAATTATGGATCAGCCGCAAACATGACATGGGCATCCAAAGCTTGGACTAGGCCCACCAAAATAGAAATATATATTTTTCCAATTAAACACATTATAACAATCATATTTGTCTATAAGTGTAAATCCATAATCAATTTTAGTATTTATTTACTATCATCCACTTAGAGAGAAAGCTTGCTTAAGAATAAAACTGCTATTATTTTGACAATTAATTATAGGATGGTGTTCCGGTGGCATTATGATTATTATAAGTTTTATTATTTTGGTATTCGGTGCTATGCACCATTAATAACTTTCCCTCGACCCCTTTTTCCCCAAAGTGCTAGCTGTGGGATTTAATTTTGCGTTAATGTTGGAACAAACCAGTTAATACACCATTAATAACTTATGATTATTATAAGTTAATGACGGGTTTAAATTTTCTTACATCCTATTTGTGATTTTTAATAGGCTAATTCAATGGCATGTTAAAACCAAGAGAGAAAGAGGGAGTAGTGATTTCTAGTTTCTACACATTTCACGTATCGGGTTCTTACCTGAACAATACTTGCAAAATTTTGAATAGGGGTGCAAATGGATCGGATCAAGATCATTCGGTCTAAGATCCGATCCTATTTGGTCGAATTTGGATTACCCCTGTTCGGATCTTCAGATTCAAATCATCCCTATCCGATCCCATATATGTTATTTATTTATTTATTTATATTATATTTTTTGTAAATTTGTTATATTATTTTTTTATAAAAACATATATATATATATATATATATATGATGAAAATGATTAAAAAAATACTTGTATTTTTTGTTTTTCTTTATTTAAATTGATATATTTTATTTTTCTTTTAATAATTTATTAGTTTTTAAAGAAAACAAACTGAATTGGATCAAATCAGATCCAAATATCCAACTTTCTAATCGAATTCAAATTTAGATCATTGTCTATTAGATCCAATTGGATCAGATCCGTCTTAAACAGTGTTGGATCGGATTTGAATATACTTTGATTCGAATCCAATCTGATCTATTTGCATCCCTAATTTTGAACCTTGCCTATAACGAAAGGCACGTCTAGAATAGAGAATTTTCAAGGATTGAAATTTATCACCTCCCCACTGAACTGATGTCGTAGTGTGACTTAATCCACTGAATGGATGCAGACATGCTGTGGCCAATAATCTACATTGATTTTGTTTCCAATCTTAAATCAAATGTTTAGATTTATTAGGCTCAGTTTGGGAAGGGTGCAAATACAAAGGTTAAAAAATACGGTAAACAATGTTTTACATTGTACATGTTTGTATTTATACTCTTCTCAAATAGAGGTGTAAAGTGGGCCATGCCAAGCTGGCACGGCATGGCCCGTGCAAAGTGCAAGCCATACCGTGCTGGCCCGCGGGCTGTGCCACCCTCTCCGGTGAAAAATTTGGGGGTCGGCCCAACACAGCCCACGGCCCTGGCCCATTGGCTGAGCCTTGGGCCAGGTCGGGCCGTGCATCGAGCCAAAGCTATTTATTTAAAAAAATTGATAAAAAACTTAAAATTTTAATTTTATATGAATTTTGTGTATACAATTGCTTATATATACAATAATTAAATAAATTAATATAATAAAAATAAAAAAATATTTATTTTATTAATATATTATATAGTATATATTATTATTATATAATTATAATTTATATAGTATTATATAAATAGATAAAAAATATATAAAATATATATGGGCCGTGCTGGGCCGGGCTGCAGGCTGGGCCGTGCCGGCCTGCTTGGTCGTGCCATGTCGTACCGGCCCATGGACCTAAAACTCCAGGCCTAGCACAACCTGCATGATCATGCCGGGCCTGACACGACCTATAGACCATCGTATCGGACGGCACAACCCAATTTACACCTCTACTCTCAAATGCAAAAATGGGTGCATCAAAATACGGCTGATTATTTGGACTCCTGTATAACATCAGTGTTGTGTGGTAATTGATTACTATGATTGAATTAAGGAAAAATCTTTTTCTTTTTCCATTTTCTCTCTTACCTTGAAGATATGGGGTTATTTGATATTGGGGGCCACCATTGACTGAAATAGGTCCAATGGCAGCACCAAGGTCTATTTCATTGCTTGTTTGAATAAATCCATTGCAAATGAGGTCAAAACAATCAGTCTTGTTTGAAGTATTTAATTTGCCAAGACATCAATCTCTCATATAAACAAACCCTCTGAAGTACTGATCTGAAGGAAATAGGATTTGATCCTCACAAAACCGTCCTCATAGCCAGCCGTGCATTGAGAATAAGTATGGATATGTTCTCAGCTGTAAAAGGCTGTGAAGACAGTTATGTGAATCCGAATTCGTTTTAAAACTCCTATAAATCATACCAACTATGTTTGTGTTTGGTTCGAAACTTTGAATGAACAATGGTTGTATTCTGTTGTAAATTGTAATTCATATCATATGTGCTATCAAATATGTAAGATCAATAGCTGGCATATGATCATACAAAAGTTCTAACTTCCCCACCCAGAGAATTTGATATAATTTATAGAATTTGATATTCTTATCTGATAGCCTGAATGTTCTTCCGCGTCAAAGGGGATTAAGGGGTGGGGAAAGGGGGTGCATGGAGTTCGCAACTTCACATGATAGGTTGTGTTTGTATTTCATTGGCCGATACTCTAAATTATATTTGGAGCAAAGTGAGTTGCAGAAGATGTGAACTAGGGTGCATGTAAGGTCAACCAACAGAATGCGCCCCACAGTGCATCCCCTTCGTGAATTAGGAACATCTTCTCATGATAGGTTCATTCACAAGGGAGATGGACTGTAGTAAGGCTGCAATAATTTTTTAACGGGGGTAACACATCTCCCAACCCAGGCGCAGACGGGATTTAATCCTAAATCTCTGCTACAATAGACAGGAGAAGCTGGTTGGCACCATGCAAGACTGTAATAATTGAATTGAGCTCTAATTTAATAGTTTGTGCTCCAATTTAATTAGGGTTATTTAAGTTCAAACTTTCAGGTTAGTTCGATTAATTATTCAAATTCGAGCTCAACTAATTAAAAGTTCAACTCAAAGTCTTAAGTTTGACTTGTAGCAATCCAATCACGATCGATCAACGATGGATATCTGTCCGGTCATTTGACGTGTCGACCGTTAATTGGATCCCAAAGCAATCACGTACAACATAGCGTATCAACGATCATGTACACAGCCAATCCGATCTCATAGAACTAGAGCTGATCGCCTGCCATAGTGCAATGTCACGCAAAACGTGGCGCCATGGCGGTTTTGATTCTACCGTACGGTTTGTACTGCTGTAAGATACAGACAGACGCGGGGAATAACCAACAATTTCGGACACGGACTTCCCCTCTCGTTAATTTACGCCTAACTCGCGCCATTTCTAAACCTACGCTCTTCTGACAGTCGCTCTTTCTTTTTTTCATTTCAAGAGTCTACTTCCTCGAGCTAACACTGCTGTTCTTCGTTTTTCTTGTACTTTTTTTTTTGTCTGCAGAAACTTTTGTCCAGTACCATCTTTGTTGCTCCGTCTCCGAAAATGGTGATTATGAAGTTAGTCATCAGGGCTGAGCTTGAGAATCTGACCAACCTTCAGCCTGAAGGGGGTTGTGATGAACCAAACTTCACATACTACTTCAAGGTCCATCTCTCTATCTGATCTCTGTCTCTATTTTTCTTTCTTCTTGTCGATCTTTAAACCCGCTCTGAAAATGCTTTAGGGTTTATTGATGCCTGTACATTTGCTCTTCAATATCGTGCTGCTTTTATTGTTCTTCTTTTTGACTGTAGTAGAGAATTAAGAACCGGAGAAATTAATTTGTTTTCTGCAGCTTCATTGTGAGAATTGTGGTGAGGTGAGCCAGAAAAGGACTTGCGTGAGCTTGAACGAAAGAGTTCCTCACCCCAATGGCAAGGGAACCATTAATCTTGTTCAGAAGGTGAGAGTGTGAGATACTCTCTCTCTCTCTCTCTCTCTCTCTTTCTGATCTTTACTCACCACAACGTGAGATAATTGTAGCATTTGAGCATATCTTTAAGTAATAAATCCAGGGTGTTATTGGTAAATCAGATTCTGCCATTTTGCTTATATTTTCTAGTTTTCTTTATTTCCAGTGCAAATTTTGTGAGAGGAAGGGAACTGTGCTGATGATTCCTGGTCATGGTCGTCCCCTGACCCTCCACGCTTCTCAACGTGGGATGCACTCTCCGTTGATGTTATTTGACTGCAGAGGCCTTAACCCTGTTGAATTTGCTTTTGGAAATGCATGGTGGAAAGCGCAATCTGTAAGTTCTTGTGTTTCTTTATTCGTTTTTCTTCTCAAGCTGTAGAATATTAAACTAAAATCTTTCATAAGTTAATGCTCATATATATTTCATACTTGAGCCTCAATTGTTGTTGTCCACGGGGGTTTAATGAATATACACCTGAATTACCATCTACCTAGTAGTGGTCCATTTGTTCATTTGTTCTTGTTTCTTGTGTGTAAGTATTGAATTCTATTTTTTTTTTCTTTTTCGCATTGTCTTATATATTTCAGTGTTTTTATTATACTTTGTTTTTTTGGGGTAAATTACAAAGATCCCCCTTCTACTATGGGTCTGTGACAAAGACCCCCCCTAAACTTTTACATTGCGACAAATACCACCTCGAGCGTTAACGGAAACCATTAAATTACTAAAATACCCTACTAAACTTTCTCTATTTTCTTTTTCTTGCCATTCTCTCTTAAACCTAACTGATCTTGAACCAATGCATCAACCAAAAACTAGCCATCTTAAAAATGCATCTTGGAGTTACTATTCACCAAAAGAATTAAAGTAGCAAGGGATGGTTTCATGCCCTGAATGAAATGAGATTTTTGAACCACACTAGAAGATTACAGTCTGACGAAAGTAGCAAATGGGTTGCAGAGAATAGATAGTCGAAGCACATGAAAGACTACGGTACCTAACATGCGTGTGTGTGTCCGAAATGTGTGCCTTCGATACATAGCTTTCATTATTCTATAGAGAATTTTTGATTTCGCTCTATGAGCTACACAGCTAGTCCAAAATCTGCAATGCCGTGGAATGCCTCCTCTGTTTACCAATTGAATGGCAAGGACACTTGAGAAATGGCAAGGGACATTAACATCTTGGTATTAATACAAGTCATCAATCCAGAGAAGGTAAACGAATTGCAGAGCAGACCTAATAGTTAATCATTGACGTCAATAAATTAAGGGAGATGTGGAGGGGTTAAGCTGCACCATATGCAAAGATTTATGGAGCTCTTTTTCTTGCATTACAAGAAAAGAAAATTCAAGAACCACATCTATTTGCAATTGGTATTTGTTGACGCCAAAACAGATCAAGCACCGTGTACCGTCATAAGACTTTGATTGGTTTAATTGCAGGCCCATTGCAAGATGACGCCAAAACAGAGGACTACTTTGTACGCCAATTATTGAATCTATCATATATTTCTTATTCATCTCACCTAACTTAAGTATTTGTCCACAAAGGATCGTTTACAAGAAAGCAACATATTATCTTATTCATGTCTCCGAAGATTTTGCAACCTGCTTTAAGAAAATGCAAGGGTGAAGCTGAATCGAATAAGTTCAATCAGATTGTGCCCACAAGTCCATATATAGCGCCAGTGGAATTAACCAGATTGATTGGAAACTTTGCGACACTTTGATATATATCGTTGGTTTTACTCGAATCAACCTAGCTGTTGAACACTTGAACTCAAGTACGTACTGAACTAAACTAGCATGGCCCCCTTTCTCAGTTCAGCATCCATGTCTATTTTCATATTTATTGATCATCTGCATGCCTAATTCCAACTGTAGTCGAATTAACAAATAACAAATGCAGCTTTCAGGTTCACACAAGTAGTTATCTATGGTTATGAATCAGTTCCATCAAAGGAGCAATTACATGAAACCTTTCTCAATTCTGGATGTAGGATTGTCAGATTTCAATTGGAAGGTCAAGTCGTTCTTTCTTGTTGGAGGTATCGTCGTCCCTTTCTCTTCTGTCT